TTCTTTTAGCTAATTTTGCAGTTTTAAAATTCATTCTTGATTTTGAAGTGTATTTCAATAACTTTTATATTCTAGATCAAATGATTACTCAATGGATTCTTTAGGAATAGCCTTATACACTTATAATACATAGCATGCAGTATAACTTTAATATTCAGTTCCTTGCTAAGAAGAGCAGAATCTACTTTTCTTACCTGCTCCATCAATATTTTCTGCTTGATATGACAATCAAAATATCCCTCAGAGCCAACTGATACACTAGGGAAATCATGGTTTCCATTTTATGCCTCATGAAAAGAAATAGGACTTAGTGTGATAATATTCATTTAAAAGGTCCATGAATGAATATCACTGTGAAATATGATTATTAGTATCATTTCACAAGAACCTATAATTTCAGTGTGATAGAGCTACAATATAATTATAGGATAACAATATCACTAGGTAAGGGTGTTGTATGTTGTTTGTCAAAACTTTAAAAACACCTCTGACTCAGTAGCAATTTTGATAATATTGATTCCACTGATTCCCGACACATCCGCATAGAATATTTTCCTGGGGCAAAATCCCTAGGTGCAATGAGGTCAGGAGGAGAAACAAGCCATAGTATGGGTCTGGATGTTTGTTGGCCCTGACAGAAGGTCAAATGTATGAATATATCAAGTGTAGACAAAACAACCTACAAAAGTCAGAACATGTGTAGGGCAGAAACCTCTTAGAGAAGGAGAACTCAAATATTTTACACTAAAACAAGAGACAGAAAAGTAATAAGACCTGTCAAAGGCGGAAAACTTATGAGACCCAGAAAAGCAGTACTGTCGAGTTCCACCTCTCAAGATTTCACTGTATCACGAAGAAAACATTACTATTTCAGTGGTTTCTTTTCAACTCCGAAGAATCAATGTGGTTGTTTACCGTTGTGTTTGTGTCAGTGTGAAATTAACATGCAGAGTACCAGTGCTACAGAGCTTTATGTCGGCAAAGAGTTTAAGCTTCTTTTAGCAAGGAGCTTGTGCAGATTCAATTTAGCATCAGACTGCTGGATGTGGAACATGATTCCATTCCTTCAGAGCTCCGTTAGCTCATGCTGCCTTCCAACATCAATGACTGTCTCAGACTGGAAAGTCCTGGATATCAGGGCCCCTCTGTGACTTGTTTAGTACAATATTCAGAACACTTCAAGACTCTTTGCATGTAATAGTTTAATAATGTTGTTTTATGAGAATGATGATTCCATAGCGATTAACCCTAGAGACCCATGGGTGTTACAGATTGATGACATTCAACAGTCCTACAAAGCAGCATTGTTTTGATAAAAAAGGAATCAAAGTGAGCAGGACTGTGGGCAAATTTTTGATACTTAGAACCACTGTCCCATCAACTTCCTCTTGTGTCTTCTCGTGACTGACCCTTAGCCTTTGTGGGTCAGTCTGTTTGCTGTTCTTTGCCACTGGGTAAAGAAATGATTTGAAGTGTTTCACCAGATTCTTCACATTGGATTCTCATCCCTGAAACCTGGGCTTTAGTCTGAGAGAGCCAGGGATTCTCCCACAGGTGGCTTCTGGGAGCTGAGTCAAAGTGCTTCTTCCTTTGTAGATCATGATTCAGGGCAGCTTGGAGGATTCTGTCATTCATTTACTCACCACCTCTGGATTCCATGGTATGCATAAGAAGGTAGACATGGACAAGAGAAAAATTGCTACGCCTTCATGGAATAAATTTTCTGAATCATGTAGACTCAAGGGCTAAGAACAGATAAAAACATTCAACAGGGACAAATGCACGAGTTTAAGAGTGGCCAAGGAAGACTTAGTGGAGGAAATTACTCTGAAATTGACACGCGTAGGAGATTATCCAGTAAGGGTTATCCACACAAAACGGGTGTGGACGGGTTAGGAAAAATTTACATATGAGAACAGGTTCTGTGTGGGAGTGGTAGTAAGAGTAAGCATGGTGACTACAAAGAATTAAGAGAAGTTCCCTGTGATTGGAGCATAAGCTGTGTGACAGAGATTTGTGGGAGATTGGCCTGAAAACTCTAGTAGAAGCAAGATCATAAACTTTGGGTGTTGTCATACTGGAAGTCAAAAGCTACGAATTTAATGCAAGAGAGTGACATAATTCGTTCAGAAGTTGTTGCAGTTTTATACAAGAAATACTGAGCTGAAAGAGTGGCAGTAGGGGTGGAAAGAAAAGAGATGGATTGGAAAGGCATTTATGAGGTAAAATCAACTTTTAGTATTTGATTAGATGTAGCTGGAAAAAAGAGAGGAATCAAGGATAACATCTAGATTTGCTGACAGAGGCAATTTAGTGAGTGAGGAAATTCAGTTGGAGAAGACAGCTTAAGGTCGGGGCAGAGGGCTGTGTAGACCCTTTGTTATTGTTGTTGTGTGCTGTCCAATCAATTCCAACTCATAGAGACCCTGTGTGACAGATTAGAATGGCCCTATAGGGTTTTCTAGGCTTCATAGCAGAGCAAATTTCAGGTCTTTCATCCTGTAGAGCTGCTGGTGGGTTTGAACCACCAACCTTTCAGTTTGAGTACTGTGACCATTATACTACCAAGGGTTCTTATGCAGACCCTCTACTTCTCTTTAAAATAAAAAAGGAAATGATGCTTATGGCTCAGTGCCAAGTAATATGGTGAGCTGAAAATATTTAAAGAGATTTAGTGTTTAGTCTTAGGTAAGAAATATTGAAACGTCTTAAGTGACAATCAGAACTGTAAATATTTCCCTCACACTGTTTCAGTAATGTCCAGGATGGCCTCTAGGGAAATATCTGAAGTGCCCTCTTGTTTGGCTTTGTTTTAGTACAGGATGACCTCAGAGCTTATCGGGAATAAGAAGCTGTACTCTAGGGACACCAGTCATTAAATTCTACTTAGAAACTCCACTTAAAACCCCCCATCCCCTTTAATTCCCCTCAAAAACTGCATCAGTCAACTTCTGTCTGATGCTTTCCACCCCATTCTAACTTTGCTCTTTTAAGCAGTGGTTTTCACACCATAGGAAACAACATAGCTGAGTGATCCAAAAGGAGGTGCAATAATATGCTTGGGTTTCAGGTATTATCTATAAAAATACAAGTTGCTGTCTAGTCAAAAGCTTGTACCCTTGATGTGGCGTGACGAGAATGGTGCTTTACCCCTGTGGTCTTCTTCAACACTCATAATGCTAGTCTAATCATGAGAAATGGAGACCCTGGGTAGTGTAAAAGGTTAAGTGGTTGACTGCTAGCCATAAAGGTTGGTGGTTCGAACCCACCCAGAGGCTTTTGAAAGAAAATCATTCTTCTTCCAAAAGGTAACATCTCGTGAAAGCCCTATGGGGTGCAGTTCTACCCTGAAACACACAGGATCACTTTGAGTCAGAGTCGACTTGATGGCAACTGGTATTGTGTGTAGTGACTGAATAAGTACAGCACACCTACTAGCATGAAATTTTTGTGTGCATGTTAAAAAGAGATTCTTTTTTCTCTTGAAAGGGTTATGTAACACTGCTTTATGTTAAAACTTTGAGCCCTATTAAAACACACAGATCCTTCTCCTTCCTCAGCACTGCGTACCAAGGTGCAGCCCCTTCCTCCCCAACTTGCCCCTCAGGTCCAAAGGCTACATGAAGACTAAGAACTTGTCTGGATGAAGACTAAGAACTAATCAGACCAAAGGGTTGAAATAAAGCATAATAGGCAGAATCCTAGAGGTGCTGACTGCTCTAGTGAGAGGAGATTCAAGGACCTGAACTTGGAGCCCAAGCATTGCTTAGGGGATGACAAGAACATGAAGGCCCTCTGGCTAGGAGTTCTAGAGACAGCAGAGTAGAGAAACATTTTATTTTAAAAGTGTCCAGGAGTTTAAGAAATAAAACAATAACAACAACAATGTAAAATCATTACTTTTCAACCAAAATATCCATTGCTACACATTAGAGCAGATGTTTGTTGGCATATATATATATATATATATATTTTGTAAAAGGCAAGATACTAGATATTTTCAGCTTTGTGAACCATATGGTTTCTGTTAACCAGAAGTTTGGTGGTTTGAACCCACCAGCCACTCTGAGGGAGAAACATGAGGAAGTCTGCTTCTGTAAAGATTTACAGCTGTGGAAACCTTATGAGGTAGTTCTACTCTATCCTGTAGGGTCAGTATGAGTCAGAATCAACTCGATGGCAGTGGCTTTGGATATTTGGTTTTTGCCTCACTTTGCTAACAGGGTCATGCTGGTTTCAGAGAATAAATTTGGGGTATTCCATTATTTTCTGTGTTCTGGAAAAGTTTGAGGAGAATTGGTGCCAATTCTCTGAATGTTTGGCAGAATTCTCCAGTGAAGCCTTCTGGGCCAGTTTTCTTCTTCTTTTTTTTAATAGTTGTTCTTGGGAATTTTTTAAATGACCTCTTCAATTTCTTCTTTTGTTATGGGTCTGTTCAAATTTTCTACCTCAGTTGGTGTTATTTTAGGTAGGTAGTGTGTTTTTAGAAATTTGTCCATTTCTCCTAGGTCTTCAAATTTTTTGGAGTACAATTCTTCACAGCGTGCTGTTATGGTCCTTTATATTTCCATTAGTTCAGTTGTAACATCACCCACTTCATTTCTTATTTGTTATTTGCATCTTTTCTTTCTTTTCTCTTGTCAGTTTGGCTGCTGTTGTTGTTGTTGTTATGTGCTGTTGAGTTGGCTTGGCTAGTGGTTTGTCAATTTTATTGACCCTTTCAATGAACCAACTTCAAGTCTTGTTGATTTTCTCATGTTTTTCTTTTTTTCTGTTTCATTTATTTCTGCTCTAATCTTTATTATTTCCTTTCTTTTGATGACTGTGGTCTTCTTCTGCTGCTCTTTTTCTATTTGTTTGAGTTGTAGGGCTAAGGTATTGATTTTGCCTTTTTCTTCTTTTTTGATCAGTACATTTATTGCTATAAATTTTCCTCTGAACACTGCTTTTGCTATGTCCCAGAGGTTTTGGTACGTTGTGTCTTCATTTTCGTTTGATTCTAAGACTTTTTAAATTTTGTTTTTAATTTCTTCTATGACCTGGTAGTTTTTAGGTAAGATGCTATTCCATTTCCGTGTATTGAATTTCTTTTTTCCTTTCTATTTTTGTTAACAGCTTCTAGTCTTATAGTGTTACAGTCAGAGAATATGCTTTGTATTTTGTCAATGTATTTGTATTGGGAAAAGAACTGAGGTTTTTTTGTGGCCTAGACCATCATCTACTCTGGAGAATAATCTTTGTACATTAGAGAAGAATGTGCTGCTGTTGGGTGGAATATTCTGTATCTATCTGTGAGCTCAAGTTGGGTGATTATGTTATTTAGATCTTCTGTGTCTTTATTGAAGTTCTTTCTAATTGTTCCATCTATTTCTCTTTCCAATTCTGCTAGAGTTTATATATTTTGGAGCTCTGTCATTGGATGCATAGATTTTTCTTATTGTTATGTCTTCTTGGTAGATTGGCCCTTTAATCATTATATAATGTTCTTCTTTGTCTCTTATAATGAATTTTGACTTAAAATTTATTTCATCCAAAATTATTACTGCTACCCTTACTTTTTTTTGGATACTATTTGTTCAGCATATGTATATTTCCATCCTTTGATTTTTAACTTGTTTATGTCTTTCTGTCTGAAGTATGTCTCTTGTAGGCAACATATTGATGGGTCTCAATATATATATATATATATATATATATATTTTGTTGTTGTTGTTGTTGTTGTTGTTTGCCATTGAGTCGGCCCTGACTCATAGCGACCCCTTCTTGGGTTTCTGAGGCAGTATCACTATGGAAGTAGGATTGCCCAACCTTCCTTCCGAGGAGCGGCTGGTGGGTTTGAACCACCAGCCTTCTGGTTAGCAGTCAAGTGCCTTAGGCACTATGCTATGAGTCAGGTCTGACTCGATGGCACATAACAACAACATATATATGTATCCATTCTGCCACTCTCTGTCTCTTGACTAGTGCATTTGATCCCTTTACATTCAATATGATTATTGATAGGTATGGATTCATTGCTGTCTCTTTTTTTAAATGGTGTTAGCATTTTCTTTGTTGCTCCTAATTTTCTGTGCTGAGTTCTTTTTGTATATGGTTTCCTTTTCCTATCAATTGTTGTTTTTGTGTGTATTGAGTTGGTGTTTTTGGTTTTCCATAACTTTACATTGGTGGGTAGATTTATTAATTTTCTTTATAGTTCCTAAAGTTTACATTAATCCTCTTAAAATTCAAACAGTCTGTTACATCTTCAGATTACCTTAACTTCTTCCCCAGATGGAAATTCTGTAACTACAACTTTTATTCCCTCTTTCTGTTTTGAAGTTGTTGTCCTTTACAATAACTCTGGTAGCACAGTACTTAAGATATCTGACTGCTAACCAGAAGGTTGGTGGTTCAAACCCACCAGCCACTCCATGGAAGCAAGACTGGGCAATCTACTTCCATAAAGATTTACTGCCTTGGAAACCCAATGGGGGTCGTTATGAGTTGGAATCTACTCAATGGCAGTGGATTTGGTTTTTTTTGATCCTTTACAACTTAAGTCCTCTGGATCCTGGTAGTCAGTTTTTTAGCTTGATTTTACTTTTGCAAAGTCTTTATCTGTGTTTGTTTCTGGGTGAAGTTGTTATGTGTCTTTATCTCAGGATATTATCTGCTATTGGTTCTATAGCTGAAGGATTTCCTTTAATATTTCTTGTAAGACTGGGCTGGTTTCTACAAATTCCCTTAACTTCCACTTGTTTGTGAAAGTCTTAGTTTCACCATCACTGTTGAAAGAAAATTTTCCTGGATATATAATTCTTTTGGCAATTGTTTTCCTTCAAGATTTTATATATGTTATCCCCTTGCCCTCTTGCTTACATGGTTTCTGCTGAGAAATCAGAGCTTAGT